ATGGGTGGGCTGTAGTGCATGTCTGCTGGCCGGGTCAATGAACTTTCTCTCTGAATGCACTGTTTGTATCTTTTAGGGTTATTTTGGATGCATTAGATCTCTAAAGAAGAGTACATTAGGGAAGCATGTTGGTCATGGTACTGTTTTCTCTGTATACTGCCAACTTGTTGCATCGGCTGACTCCTAGTGTGTTAGAGAAATTGTATTTCAATGATTTCTCCATAACAGTCAAAAGTTCAAATCATTTGCATCTTCTATAGTTAGCACAGCACATTTTGGATCTAGTTTACACTTGAGCAACTTGTGAGGTCACCAAGTTGTGCCTAAAGTCAGAACAGAAGAGAGCTGCTGGTGCATATATGAGTGTGATAGATATTGAGTCAGACTCCACAGTTACAAAGAAAATTATCCCAATTTATTTAGACACCAAATCACACTTACAGATATAATGCTCAGTGTGTAGAACATGACTACAAATTTTCAGTTCCTCCTGCTGAGAGAGAGAGTTCTGATGGAAGGACTTGTCAGTGCCAATCACCCCAGGGTAATGTTGTTAAAAGTCCACAGAGAAGTTGAAATCAGTTCAGCACGCACGTCAAGAGTGAAGTGGAAAAAGCAACCAGTAAGGTCTAGCACTTTCAGAATAATAGTACTCTTTGAACTCCATTGTCCTTGAAACTCAGAGTTTTTATCATCATCTGATCAACCACTTCAATTGGCTATCTTTCCTCATCCCCACTTTCTAATTGGTCATCACTTGTTATTAAGTGTAATGAGATCTGAACCCAAATCATGGGATGAGTCAAAATCAACATTTAATTCGATTCCAACTGAAGATAGTTGATCTTAAGACTTAGATTGCCTGCTTTCTGAGAAAAGGTTTTTTTTCTTCTCTATTAAATTTAATATTTCATTTTATGGACATAAAAATTACAGTTTGCAATATTAACAAATTTAGAGGTTTTTAGATTTTATTGTGGTTCCAGGATATTTTTGGAGTCTCACATACTCATAGTGGGATCATTCTTTCATTCCTGACAAGTTTGCAGCATTGGATCTTTCTCCCAAATGGAATGGAACTCTATTTGCTCTTTCACTTGGGTGATACTGCTTTGCCTCAGGTCATTTCCTAGAAGGTGTCAGGAGTGCTTCTTCATCTAACTTTGACTGGAGTGCTTCTTCATCTAACTTTGATAGACTTCTTCATTAACATTTTCAGCACCTTCAGTTGAAAAGTGGTTAGGTAGTGAGATATTTCAAATACCTCACTTTGTTAAGACGTGACTCCTGTTTGAAGGATCTTCTCTGCCTTACATGAAGGACAATTGTTCCAATGTTATGGTGGGGATACATTAATTTGCAAATATTTTCTCTCACATCTATTGGGCTGTCTTGCAGCACTGCTTAGAGTTACCATGTTTGATACCCACTGTAGTTGTCTTTGCAGTAGCTTGGGTAGAGCCATTCCTAAAGCCCTGGTCACACTATGCGATTTCCAGCCGCGCAGGCGACTGCAACCGCGACGGCTGTTCCCGTTAACTAGTAATCCCCCCTCGAAAACCGGTTCGACTGCAATCGCAACTAGAAACAAAAAGTTTGTTCTACTCGCGACGGTTGCAAACGCGCATCCAATCAACAAACGCCTTTATGCCATGTCATACAGTGACAACATTGAAAATAGTTCATCATCATGGCGGATAGTCAGAGGATTAATACTTTTACAGAATCGAGATTGATCGAGCTTATTCAGGCTCACGAATACCTGTGGGATTTTAATTCTTCGTTTTATCGAAGATTTTATGCTTTCATGTATTTTCGCCAGCTCTATTAAAATAATCGCCTTTTTTCTTTTATTCATTCCAGAAAATGAACTGCTTGCTATTTTAATAAGAAAAGTGGCTAAAATTCCGTAAATACTCTGAAATAGAACGTAAAATATCGGCAAACTCACGAAAGTAGTCAAAAACAAACTACTGTAATTTTATTGGTTTATTACAGGGCCACGTGTTTCCGAGTTGCAACGTCAACGAACAATGTGTGACCACGAGAAGACGCGCGCGACTCGCGCTTGTTGCAGTTGCAGTCGCCTGCGCGGCTAGAAATCGCATAGTGTGACCAGGGCTTAAGGAAAGTGCTTTGGCTGTGCTTTGTTTTCTCCTTTGTCAGATAGCATTGGGAGAATAGACCCCTTAGGTTGAATCACAAGGATTTTTATTGCTGGCACTACTGTTAAGATGCTCAATATCCCATTCTTGACCAGAGGGAGGAAAAGATCATATTCTCTCTCATTTGCTTTGGATGCCATCCACTTGTTTGCCTGATTACATGTGTTTGAATCAAGGATACATGATTATGACAACAGGTTTTCCATTCTGCCCATTCTGGTGAGCTTGTGGCATAAAAAAGCATGTTGCAATGGTCCTTTATCAGGCTTGGGTTCAGACAGTCATAATGGATAGTGATGGATGCATCAAAAACATACTAATGGACCATAACTGGTATTGTGATTCTGTGGTGGAGCTATCTAATGATACATTCAGCAAGAACCATTGAAAATCTTCACACTCAGCTATCTAAGTTGGATAAACCATGGGAATGCCACTAGAAAATGATTTGGGACCCAGACATTGCAGAATTAGAATAAATGTGCAGATTGAGTGTTGTCCATGAACTTGAATGACAATCTGGTGCATCATTACAGTGGAAGACTAGATGCACATGTCTGACAAGCCAGAGCAGCATAATTGGAATTATGTCTTCCTTTTCTTTTTGTTTCATATAGCACTCACCATAAATTCAATGTACTCACAGTTGGAGAATAAGACAAACTAGCCATAATCTCAACTATACGACAATAGCAACAGTGACACAGCAAGCTAGCTTTCATTTTGGTCAATGTACAGCTGTTGAATTGTGATTGATTGATTGGAGTTTTTCTTCTGATAGATTTTTCCCTAATCAGGTTAATTGTTTAAGATTTTGAATAAATGTAATTTTTTTAAAATGTACTAATAATCAAGTTCATTTATGTAATTACTGTATTGAAATTTGTGGCATTTGAGTTTTATAGTAGCATTTATTTGTTGTAAAATATATATATATATATTATTTTTTAGTCAGCAAGTATGGTATTGGCATCTATAAAGATTTTGATATTTTTACAAGGTCAGTACAAGAATTGTTTCTTTGATAATTTGGACCTTGCAATCTCATGCTCAATTTGTTCCTGTGTGTATCTTTCTGAAAAGTATATATTGACAGATATAAACACAAAAATTTACACCTTTCTCTCAATTTCCAGCATTCACTGTTTAAAAAACAAATTTTTTTCGGCCACATTCACAGGCAAGCTGATTCTGTATTGAACTTCAGTAGCAGGTTCAAAGTTTGGAATAATGCTGTTTTCTTTGATGTAATTGTTTTTGAATTAATATAGAATATATTTANTTTTGTTTTACGTAATTTCGAATTCTTCATTCAATTCAAAATGATAACTGAGGATGATCGCTTAAAGCGTTCGAAAGCGTTTTTAAGATACAGTAATACCTCGACTTACGCGAATCCGGAGTTATGCGATTTTCAAATCTCGTAGATTCGTCTTTTGTTTGAGCGCTACGCAACTGTTGATTACTCATTCCCCCCACACTATTGTTCGGCTTACATGTTCAAATAAATTGTACAAAATATGTACAAAATAAATTGTAGCTATGTGTCGCACGGAATTGACACATAGCCACAATTTATTTTGTGTTATTTATTTCTGTGTTTTGTGTTTATTTCTGTGTTATATCTATGGAGAATTGAGAGACTCTATGTGATAATGTCTAGTAACCGTGAACGAATCAAAAGACGAGATAAGATTAACGAGAACATTTATTAGCTTACATACATCCGACTTGGATTTTACACAAATTTCGAAATTATACCCCGACTTACACGAATTTGACTTACGTGGTTATCGCTCGGTCCCACCTATCGCGTAAGTTCGGGGTATTACTGTATTAAAAAACGATTTGCTGGATTGTTTAAAGGTTTTGATTTTATTTAATCTAGATATGTCAAGACCAATCTGTCACTATCGTAAGCCTGCATTGTGGGCTGGTGAATCTACAACAGACTGGATTACAGGTCTTTTTAGTGTCCAAATAGCAGAAAAAGGCCCATGGAAAACAACAAGATAAACGTGTTTTAGGATCAAATTTGTTGAAAGGAACAATATTGCACAGATGTTTTCGGGTGTGTTTATAGACAGACAGTTGTTATCCCCTTTTAGAATGACAAATATGAAATTTTAATTTTATTAAACATATATTCATTTTTACATAAACAAAAACGTTGTAAACAATATATCAGAGTTTGTTAAGATTACAATTTTTAGTAAGAATTGTAATTTTGAATTTTAGAGTTTTTATAATAACCAAAGTTCAATAAATGTTTTAAAAATATGACTGCTGTGTTTGATAAGCCCTAATCTATGTTTGCTTTTTCTTTTCCCATTAATATTATTAATATTTAACATATTTGTTGTTTACATAAACGAAAAAGTAAGAGTTATTTATTAATAATAATAAAATTTTAAATTAAATTAATTATTTATAAATGTAAAACATTGTTTGTTTCTCTTAACATACTGCAGTAAAACATGTTAAGCCAGACTGTAATTCTATCTTCACCCGCAAGACGTCCTCTATCGGGAGATTTGTGCCAGATTCTTTAAATGTCAGACTTCTTTTTTGTCGGAATCAGTTCTGGACATCCTTGTTTTGTTAGATCAATCACTTATAAGTCTGTCTGCATTCCCATTTAAAAACTCTCTCTCAGTTCTTTCTTCTTACACTCGATTGTTTCGAGTAAAGGTCCTCTGACTTTTACGAAGTCCGATACAAACTTCCCGATAAAGGGCATCCCGCAAGCGAAGATGGTATTAAAATGGTTTTATAAAATAAAAAAGGATGCTTTAGAACCAAAATTCAGACATACACGATACCATTTTTACGTACCTCCAACAAATAATTGTCATCATCATCTTTGAGTAAATCAACATCTGAATATTCTTCCATATTTTTATTCAAGTTTTTGCAGTTTGCTTCTAACAAATTCTAAAATACGCAGACAAATTTCGTAATAAATAAACTACGTTACATTGATATTTAAAAAACTACTTTACAATATTCAAGAAATATTTCTTACGCCACTAAATCCATCTTCGAAACAATCTTCATCTAAATATTCTCCTTCCTGTAAGAAAAAATTATATTTCAATATTTTTAATAGTCGTATCCAAGTGTTTAGCTTCATAATAGTTCTTAAACAGTTCAACATTTAGATTTAATGCATAAAGTGAAAGACTTTTTACAGCCTAGTACGTGTTTTCACAAATCTTGGTTGGACTGCAGTAATGCACAGTTGCAAGGACTCTTTGTTAGTATGCAAAGCATACAACTGTTATGTTGGGTTTGGCAAATAAACATTTTCCCCTCTTTTTGGAGAATGACTGTCAATGTGAAAATAACCAAAATATTATCCTTTAAAGAAGGGGAAAGTAAGATGCAAATTTCTCCAGGAGATGTGGCAAATGAAAGAGGAAATATGTCAATTAGAGAAGTGAGGGATGTAAAGTATTGCACAAGTGAGAATGGTCGTCTGAGATGACGTAAACTGTTGACAAAAAGAAAGGAAGGAAACTAAACAGCAGAAGGAAAAGCCCGAAGAAGATAGTATGAGAGAAAAACTGTATTTTATGACTGGGTGTCTGTTACGAGGACTATGATGATTTATCTGCTAGAAGAACCACATCAGGCAATTGCATAAGCCTTTAGGACGGTACATTCAAAGGGAAGAAGGACTAGGTCTAGGTAATGGCTCCATGTGTCGTCAAGGGATCTTTCCACTGCTATTCCTTAAATGGTTGTTGTGTTGCTAAGCGTACCCTTTGTGCTCTGCCCACTGCAGGAACAATTCATTAATATCTCCACCCATCTATCACATGTTGCGATAAAAACTCATTATTTCGAAGCTCAGAGGACCAGAAAACACAACTTTTAATTATTCAAACTTTTTCAGAATCAAATTTTTTTGTAAATCTCAAATAAAATTATGACAATGTTATGTAATTTCACCAGTTCTGTTACTAATGCATTAAGTTATTACTTAGTAAATGAAGCTCTTCTGGAAAGCTGTCTGTCAACATGTACTTAATGAAAAGCATAACCAAATTACATTCAAACCAAGACCTGAAAATGACATACAAAAGAAGCTTAAATGCTTCAATAAGAATTACCAATGAAGTTTGTCTAGAAAACCAATGGATAGTTCTACGAAGAATTTATGGTCTTAAGTTCGAGATTATGAAAATTGTGTGATCTGACAAAAACAATCTGTATTAATGGCTAAAGCTATAAGTACACATTATACAAATGCCAAACAGACTTCTTTTATAAAAATAAAAAATTCGCTCTTCATCGGAAACACTGAATGATGTCTTATGACTTTGAAAGGACATCCAATAAATCAACAATGTAAGTTATAATTGGTAAAACAAAACTGAAAATGTCACTTGGACGTGGAAACTTTCCTTACAAACACATAATATAATGGGAGACCTCGAATTAAATGATATTTTTGCAAGTTACCGGACCAGAGGACGACTTCGAATTTCAATGTACGCATATTTCAAATTATCCAAACTAAAATATATGCAAAATCCTATTCTTTTGGCCAAGGGCTAGACTTAAATTCAAATTATCCAATATCAAAAAACAGGGTTTTATTGTATACAAAACTAAGATGATCCAAAGTTTGTCTCAGACTACCGATATAATTTCTTTAAATATTACAAAGCCCCATTTAGGTAAGATGCAGCTTCCAGCAAAATTTCATGAAACAACCGGTAATTAATATAAAAATGTCCAGTGTTTGATTTAAAATTCCCACGTCTTAAAAATGGCCATATATTTGATGCCGCAGGAAACCTATCTCTATCTGGCAACATTGAACTCAACTGGCAGCAGCAGTGCACCGATGCGACGAACATGAATTGTGGGGTGTTGGGATAGAATCGTCTGGACGTACGATGGTTTTCAAACAACCGCTGCTTGTTTGAAAACCATCGTACGATCAGCGGACGTCCGATAGTGCTACTAAGTGTTGATTGGTGGATCAGCGTTTTCTTCAATCCTTATAAAAGGATTGAATTTAGGCAGTAAAAATGGTAAAAATGTTATTTTTTTTTAAAAATTGCTTAAAAATTAAGGTGCGTCTTATAGTCCGTAAAATATGGTATGTGTATTTTATAAAATGTGGAAGGCACAAAAATAATCCAAACACCCGCACAAAATTATTCTATATTTTTATTAATCTGTTCATTCATTGAGGAATGAATATCGTCAAATTCTGTAGATATTCAAGTACTCGACAATAGTGCAATTTGTAAAAACATAGTTTAGATCAGTGTTTCTTAACCTCTAACGAATCGTCGCCCCCTTCAATAAAACTGTTACGTAGTATCGCCCCTTCACTTCAAAATTCCGATGCCAAGGGCCAAGGCGTACTGCATTGAATAGACTAGTGACTAGTATAATGTTATTTGCTTAATTATTACACGATATAATGAATAAAATATTTAATTATTTTTAATATAATGTGTTACTATATCACCCATAAAATTGTTTTTTACTCCCAAAATATAAATTGTTACTAATCGCCCCCTCAACATGGAAAAACACCCCCCATTGAGAAACACTGGTTTAGATCCATCCTTGAGTCAATGTACTAACAACTGTATTTGGTCAACAGCCAGATAGCCAAGATAGTAATTAAAGATGTCAGTGTGCCATTCCTGCAGACAGGAATTTAAGACTATGTTGAATTGAATAGTAACCTTTGTAGAGATTATAGGACAGAAGATAAAATGCTGTGTTCATTAAAAAGTTGAAAGGTACATGAGTTATGATTAATCTTGTTCTATTTTATTGGCAAAGTTATCGTCACAAATTGAACATAAGAAACAATATTTCTAATGCTTTCTAGCTCATTTTTAAGGATGTGAATATAAAATAACTCTTCCAATTGAACAAAATTCTGACCGTCATAACCTGATAACATGTGTTTTAATTATGCATAAGTTCCAGCATGACGATGACAATCAATCAATTAATAAACTTATTTTCCCTCTTTATCTACTAATAAAAATGTTAGTTTTATAATGGAAGAATGATTATCGACCCACAGTCTTTGTTAATTAAACAATTATCTGAGGAACTTCTAGCTTCGGTTTTTAACCCAATCCGAATCGAAGAAAAAGTCTCGAGCCAAGAGAAACCCCGAAACCATTTGTTGCTGCCTAATTTAAGATTTTTTTAATGGCGTTATTATACATTTTTAAACCAAAATTCAAATATTTTATTGAGATTTGTTATGTAAGAAGCCTAAATATTTAAATGTTTGTTGTAAAGGTGAAAATTTGTTATAATTCTCACAGGAAACAATGCAAACAGTGAATGCCTGGCATGTAAAAGACTTCCATTCTCTAGAATTGTACTATGTTAAACTAAGAACATTTAGAGGAAGAAATTAAAAAATGTTTAACTTTTTTTAATGACTTGTTATCTTATTCAGACTATTTTTATTTATTTATATTTCTTCATATCTCTTTGTTTCCGTTCTTGCCATTACGTAAACTCAGCTTTTCAATTGACAGTTCTTCATTTATCTCAATACGTGTTTGAGTGCCTGTGCCATTTCCACATGTTTTGTTATGGCAGATTCTATAAATTACTAATCATATTGTAACTATATTATATGCAAATAGCGATAAATAATAATCTACACGAATTAAATATTTATTGTTTTGAGTGATTCTTTAGTCTCTTGCCCTTTCTGGATTGAAAAATTGCACAATTTTCAATATGATCTTCGAGTTATCAATTGCTGCATGTTATTTTAAGCAATGTAAGCACATGCCACATATAATACATGGCCGTAACCAGACTCTTAACACTTGGTTTACTGAAGTAATGCCATATCTTTGTTTAGGTTGGGGTCATTTTGATCCCACATATACATTTACTTAAATATGCATGCAAGTATTATAAGTAAAAATAATTTACTAGTTTGATAAGTCCGTGTGAAAGTTTCTTCTTCCGAGCATCATTTGCATTGCCTACTTTCCGAGTAGTTCTTTGCAAAGTCACAATATGAAGTTTTGATGGCTGATGTTTGCAGAAGCTACTTCCATATACGAAATATCCAGGAGTATATTGCCGCCACATCCAACCCATTGAAGAACTTGCAAGTACTTGCAAGCCATTTGGTCAAATAAGTCAATGTCAAATTTTATAAAGTGTAGAATGAGACCGTCTTGTCTTGTCAATTGAAAGACACAGACAGTGCAGCAACCAATGTGACTACAAGTGTACAGATATCAGTTCTTTCTCTTTTGCATTATTTCCATCATCTAAATCATCCAGCTCTCCAACTGGACGATTTACATGGGTCAGGAAACTGGTGACCAGCCATGTCAGCAGCAGTAGAAAGATAAGTCATATCTCCGACTGGCTCCAAGTCATTAATTACTCAATCCGGACTTTTCTTGGGTACTCATTCCCACTGTTTTTGGATATGGCGACACCATTTCCCCAATACTTTTTTGGACAAATCACAGATATGCAAAGTATCTTAAGCTTTACTCAAAGAGGTATGTTTTTTCAATGCTTCACAATCGACTGGAATGTTACCACCAAATAGAAGCTCCCTCTAACTAGAGAAAAGTTTTGAAAGCCATACATCACTCATTAATGAAAAATGACAAAATACAGGTACGAGGCAAAAAGTGAACAGGGCATTGGTGATTTGCAGTTCATCTCGGACTGTTTAAGTGGTCCACAGATTGAATAAGTTTGAGAATCGCTGCTCTAGCAGATATACGAGAATGACTTGTAGACGTAGGCTTAGTCGCAATATGAACTTAAGGTTCCAAGTGTACTTTTGTTCATATATATACTGTATAAGAATTATATTATGTTATGAATACCGTGCAGTTAAATACATACATAGTAACACGATAACAGTTCATCTAGTAGTAAATCACTTAGTTTACTGAGAGATTAAATTAATTTTTATATAGTAATTCACTTGAATTTTAAAATATTTTGGCCCATAGTTTGTTTGAAAAATTATTAACAAATGATGATAAATACAAGTACACAACAAAATTAAATATTAAATAAAATACTACATTT